CTCCTCAGGTTGGTAGACCTCCCCTACCTCAACCACCCCCTCCTACTACTACACCTGCCAACCCGGTTAGCACCAACACCATTAACCCACCTCCCATTCCCCAGATTCCCCCTCCCCCTGTTTCTGAACCGAATCTACCACTAAATCCTCCTTCGCTACCTGGGACGCAGCTTCTTCCTTCTGCTGCTCCTGGGTCCCAGCCCTTGATTAATATCCCGAACCTCAACTCCCCTACTGAGGAAGTCTCCTCCTCTGACAATTGCCCCTTTGTCACCAACATAGCCTCTTCTTCGGCTTTCGTCCCCCAATACCCTCCTTCTCCTGGATCGTCTGCATTACCTGCTAACCCTCCGGTCTCTTCTCCTAACCGGTTTGCTATCCTGCAACCAGAAAATGAAGCAGAACCTCCGGATGAAGACCCACCCACACCCACCAGCCAACAACCCAACCAGCCTGATTCCACCTCTAAATCCAAGTCTGGAAACAACCCTCCCAAACAGCCTAAAGTGCAAAATGCCCCCAAAGGAAAGAATGCTAAGAAGACTAGGTCTTCTAATTCTTCTCGCAAATGACCCACTGCCCTTTTGGTTGCTGGAACGTCCGGGGATTTAACTCCCCCGATAGAGTTCTGGCTTGCAAACAAATGGTCATTAAGCATCATCTTGACTTGTTCTGTATTTTGGAAGCTAAGGTTCCTCTGGACTCTGGGTCTGATCCTTGGTTCTTAAATTCGCATCGAATTTTTGATGAAGAAGCTAGCTGTCATAATTTTGGATGCTCTTCCCCGGGAAGGATTTGGATAAAATGGAACTCCAAAAATATATCTTTCTCCCCGATTCTTACCACTTCTCAGCTCATTCATGGGACTGCCATTTCCACATCTATGCCTAATGTCATGATTTCTGTGATTTATGCCGCTAACTCTCCCTCTGAGAGAACCTCTCTGTGGCAAAACTTACTTCAAATTGCCTCCACTATTTCTTCCCCATGGATCATCCTGGGGGATTTTAACTGTTGCCGGTTCATTGAGGAGAAGTCTGGCGGGCTTCCACTGCATCACAGTCGTTTGCAGGAGATGAATTCTTGGATTTTCAGTGCTGGGGTGATTGATCTTCCTTCCACTGGTCTGTTTTTCACGTGGAACAATCATAGGGCTGAGGACCCCATTCATATTAAACTGGATCGTGCTATGGTTAACACAACTTGGTTGGACTGTTTCCCTAACTCTTTTTATAAGGTTCTTGCACCTTCTTGCTCGGATCACTCTCCTTTGCTGATCCTTCCGGGGTCCACTCCTAACGTGTTTGCTCGGTTTCAATTTAAGAATTTTATGCTTAATCTGGATGAATTTTGGGATGGTCTGATTACTGTCTTTGCCTCTCAGAATCCTGGCAGCCCGATTTCGGCTCTCTACTCCAAACTCCATTCTCTCAAGGATCTCATCAAGAGCAAAAATTGGTCTAATTCCTCTTTTATATCTAATAAAATTAATGAGTTTTCTGCAGCTCAATCTCAATGTTTGGCTCAACTCCAGCTCTTCCCCCTTGACCATAACCTTAATGTATTCCTTCATAATATTAATGCTGCTTTAGACCGGCTTCATAAGGCCTGGAGTTCCTGGGTGATTCAAAGGGCTAAAGCAAACTGGCTTACTAGGGGTGAAGACGATTTGGGTTTTCTTTTTGCTAGAATCAAATCCAGAAAATCATATTGCCAGATTAAGGAACTTATCACTGAGGAGGGGCATTTTCACTCTACTGAAACTATTGCCAGGGCGGCGGTTAATTTTTTTCAAAAATTATACAACACCCCCACTTCCCCCTCCCATGGGGCATGCCCTCTTCCAATTGGATCTACTATCCCTACTCTTATGGTTGCCCCCCTCATCTTCCCGGTGTCTGATATGGAAATTTATAATGTGGTGTTAGCTGGTTCTCCTTCTAAGGCTCCGGGGCCGGATGGTTTCACTTTCGAGTTCTATAAAGAGACTTGGAATATTATTGGTGGTCATGTTTGCCGGGCTATTAAAAATTTCTTCTCCACTGGTTCTCTTCCTAGGGGTGCTAAGGCTACAGCTATTGCCTTAATTCCTAAGGGCTCCCATGCTTCTAACATCCTGGACTATAGACCTATCTCTCTTTGCAACGTGTTTTATAAAATTATAGCAAAGATCCTCGCTAATAGGATGAAAGAGGTTATGCCTCATATTATACACACTAGCCAGACTGGATTCATTAAGCAAAGAATGTCTACGGATAACATTGTGCTAGCCTCTGAAATCCTTAGTGAGTTTAACAGTAAACATGGGGAGAAATATTTTTGTGCTAAGCTGGACATTAGGAAAGCCTTTGACACTGTTTCCCGGAATTTCCTTCTTCAAAGGCTTTCTGATAAAGGCTTTCCCCCGTTATTTGTTAGTTGGATTAAGGGGTGTATTGAAGATGTTTACTTCTCTGTGGCTATTAATGGGGGGCTTGAAGGATTTTTTCCTTCTTCCTCGGGCTTAAGGCAAGGATACCCTTTATCCCCATTGCTCTTCTCTGTGGTGATGGATGCTTTCTCGTGTGGACTAAATGATAGCAATTTTTCTGGAATCTCTAGTGATGGTTTTTCGGTTAACCATCTTCTTTATGCTGATGACATTCTTGTCTTTGGGAAGGCCTCTCTCCTTAATGCCAGCACTCTTCATAATGCCCTAACTTCTTTTGGTTTGCATTCTGGCCTGATGGTTAATAATGCTAAATGCTCTATTTTGTTCTCAAATAACACCCCTCAAGCGAATGAGATCATCCATTTACTGGGGTTTACCCCTACTGAGAGCACCCTTACTTATCTTGGAATTCCCATTTCTCCAAAAAAGCTTAAAATTACTCACTTCCAATCACTACTGAGTAGGCTCTCTACTCTACTTGATGGTTGGAAAGTTAAATTTTTGTCTTTTGCAGGTAGAATTCAGTTTCTCAAATTTACTATTACAAATACTGTGGCTTATTGGATAAGGGGGACGGTGCTGCCTAAAGGGGTTTGCAAAAATATTGAAAAAATGTGTGCCAAGTTCCTTTTTCATGGTACACACTCGGGCAAGAAACTTCATCTCATTGCTTGGCATAAAACTTGCCTACCCAAGAGGCTGGGTGGGCTCGGCTTGTCCTCTATTGCTTCCCTTTCTTTTGCGTTTGGTTGCACTTTCATTTGGAGGTTCTATAATTCTAATAGCTTGGCAGCTGGGTGGTTTAAGCACAAATTTTTGTCTCCCTGGAAGCCCTTTGGTACCAAAGTTTCAAAATTTTGGAAGGTGATTTCTATGACTGCTCATAGGATTAAGGAAAAACTGAATTTTCATGTGGTAAAAGATAACTGTAATTTATCTGCACTGATGTTTTAGCTAAGAGAAACATTTTGATCCCTACTAATTGCTCTTTCTGTAGGAGGGAGGATGAATCGGTTTCACACTGTTTTTTTCAGTGTGATTATTCTTTTGCTGTTATCTCTACTTTTATACCTGCTTTGCGCACCTTTTTGCTTCATCCCACGTTGCTACAGGTCTTTGAATTTTTTGATGGGATTCACAACTTGAGGAGTTTTGAGAAGAATTTCTGTTATTTTGTTATATGTTGCTCTCTGTATCATCTGTGGAGAGAACGAAATGAGAGAAGATATGGAAATGATGAAAATGACGTTGTTGCCTCTGTTAAGAAAATCTCTCATGCCATTGCTGCTAAAACTGACTCCTGGAAGCATATTGATCGGATTAAGCAGACGTTCTCTTTCTGCTTTATGGACCACTGATTTAATGTTGCCCCCCAGGGTTATTTATCGGATGGATTTTTTGGTGGAGAATTCTGCTCTCCACAACCGGACGATGATGAGTTGAACTAGCAATTTTCGTGATGATGGTCTCTTCCCTTGGATGGCCTGCTGGGAGCTTCGGTTCTTCTTGTTAGCTGACTTTCTTTTGATTGCTATGGATGCTGGGAGCTTGTTATTTTTTGGGTTGCTTCCCAGAATTTTCGGCCCTGTGCTTTCACTATTTTGAACCCGGATGCTTCTTATGGGCAACCAGGGAGGAGTGGTTTTTCGGGTTGCCTGTTTTGATAAGCACTTGTTGCTTATGTCTATTAGTTCTGTATACCTGAGTCCGGTTAAATTTTGGTCTCTTCTCTTTTTGTTTGTTGTATTTGAGGGTCTTTTTTCTGCCCTCCTTTTCATCCCCTCTGGTTGGGGTGTTGTTCTTTTTGTAATGTTTAGTTATTAATATACGGGCTTCGGTCCCAAAATTCCCCAAAAAAAAAAAAAGCCTTACATAGAAGATATCATGGCTGGCAACTAGATTAAGGTAGAGGGGCCAATTTATGGTTAACAAGGACCACGTGGGAAGCACACCAGTTGGCGTTACTATAGAATTTTATATAGCCACGTGAATTTTGCCAGAATAATTGAATAATTGATTGGGCCGTAAACACTAATCACTATACGTCGAACATACGAACCGCAATTTCTTCGGGAGCCCGACAGCCCGTTCTCTTCTCCGTCACCATGGCGCTTTCACTTGCCGGTTTCCCCAACTTTTTGTCTTTTTAATAAACATCATTTTTTCGGCGTTACAAAATTCTTTTCGTATCTGCTTCTTCGTTCACAAAACGAAGTTTCGGTCACAAAATGTCTTTTATAATAAAATCTCAAAAGCAAAATATTAGTCAAACATATCTTATTATTGAAACTCCATTTTATTGAACGGCTTTTTCTCAACCTCCTTTTCTAAAACTCATTTTTATGAAAGCATAAACCGAATCAAACGAAGCCTAAGGTGAGTGGCCAATTTATGGTTAACAAGGACCACGTGGGAAGCACACCCTTTGGCGTTACTGTAGAATTTTATATAGCCACGTGAATTTTGCCAGAATAATTTAATAATTGATTGGGCCGTAAACACTAATCACTATACGCCGCAATTTCTTCGGGAGCACGTTCTCTTCTCCGTCACCATGGCGCTTTCACTCGCCGGTTTCCCCAACTTTTTGTTTCCCAACGGCGCCGCCCAAGGGATCCGTAGCCGGCGTCCAGGCAGCGTGCCCGCCTTCCGCTGCGCCGGCGGTGACGGTTGGGAGAAAGTAACGACCACCATGGATCCCGACTTCGACAAGAAGGCCTTCCGTCACAACCTCACAAGGAGCGATAATTACAATCGCAAGGGGTTTGGCCACAAGAAGGAGACGCTGGAGCTCATGGATCGTGAATACACGAGTACTTACTCCCGCCCCCTTCTGCGCTGAGTTTTAGGGATTTTGCCTCCTCTTTTTTTTTTTATTTACTTAATTGGAAGAAATTTGGGCTTGTTGTTTGCTAATTGGAGATGGGGCTTTTGGGATTTGAGCAGGTGATGTGATAAAGAAGCTTAAAGAGAATAATTATGAGTATACGTGGGGCAACGTGACGGTGAAGCTGGCGGAAGCGTTTGGATTTTGCTGGGGAGTGGAACGGGCTGTTCAGATTGCGTACGAGGCCAGGAAACAGTTTCCGCAGGAGACGATTTGGATCACCAACGAGATTATACATAATCCTACCGTCAACAAGGTTGGCTCTCTGTGGATCCTGCTTTTTCTATGTCAACGTGGGACGTTTGAAGCAAGATTTTTTTCTAAAAGCTCTACTTTGAACACTGTGCTTTGATTTATTTAATTGAAGTTAACGATGCTTTCAATTCATCTAGCGTCATTTTCTCATAATATGTTGTGCAATAGAACATGCTGAGCCCCTATTTCTTTTGGGTCATACGCACATCAGTTCCAATGTTTCCATGTCGAAATGCCTCAATTAAAGAATTTTCATCTATTTTACCTTGACGTATTTTACCTTGACGTATGTCTTTCCTGCATGGATAAACTAGACTCTATTCTTTATACGCTCTGCTGAGCGCATTCTGTGTGGTTTGAGTTAGCAAAATTTCAGCAATGTAATTGTTTTACATAATTTCATGACAGTGAATGCTTCTTCATCCAATTTCTCCCCAGATGGTTCGATTTGTCGATATGATTATTCTTATGACTTTTTTTTTAACGCAGAGATTGGAAGAGATGGAGGTGAAGAACATTCCCATTGAAAATGGGAAGAAACAATTAGATGCTGTTGATAAACATGATGTTGTGATTTTGCCTGCATTTGGAGCGACAGTTGATGAGATGTATACCTTAAGTCAGAAGAAAGTACAGATAGTTGATACGACATGCCCATGGGTATCAAAGGTATTTTGGTTGAATAATGCTATTTCTGCCTATTTGTCTTTAGCCAACGGCAACCCAAATTGTTGTCATGGGTGGTGATACGTCACCAAAAATAGCCCTTGATCAAGCATAAATTTTGAAGCATATCTAAATTGACAACTTACAAAATTAAATCCAGGATCATTTGAACTCAAATTTCAAGAGATTTATAGTCAAATTAAACATTTTAGTGAGATGAATCCAACGACATGAAAATCGGACCAATCTGAGTTCAAATGGGCTCAAATCATGGAAGCTCCAAAACATTAATTGAATGATCAAATAATATCCAAATATGTCATGCTTATAGTCGAATCGAGCTGCTCGACGAGACGAATCCAACGAGCCCAAGATCACTTAATTCTAACATCATTAAGGAACTTAAATACTGAAAAATGCTCCATGATCGAGGAGATCATTATGGTTCGTCTAATGGAACACACTTCGAATTTACCCTAGATCTTCTTCTTCATATTTATTGTGCATGTCACTCTCAAAATGTATAAATATACCCTCTCTTTCCATATGGAGGTGTGACTTAGACCTTTGAAGGCTTAGACTCTAGGCTAGAGACTCAAGAGAACTCTAAGGCTTGAAGGTGTGACTTACACCTTTGCCCGCCGACCATGGTTCCTGTGATCTCTTTCTCTCGTCGACTACAGTCCCTTCGACCAACGTTGCCTGCTAACTATGGCCCCTACGACTTCTGTCTCTTGCCGACTATGGTCCTCCCAACATCCGTTGCCCACCGAATATGGTCCCTCCAACATCGTCACCTAACTATTGTTCCTTTGACCTCCGTTTCTACCGACTACGATCCCTCCGATAACCGTCACAGGCCAAATACGGTCCCTTCAACCACCATCGCCCGCTGATTGGTGTCCCTCCAACCACCGTCGCCCACCAATTACAATCCCTCCGACCTCCCTCTTTCATCGACTACGGCCTTCCGACCTCCATCTCCCATCGACTGTGACCCCTTTGACCACCATTACCCAACTACAGTTTTTCCAACCGTCGTCCACCAACTACGGTTCATTCGACCTCCATCTCTTGTTGACTATGGTCCCTCCAACCATCGTCGTTTGTCGACTACAATCCCTTTGACTACCTTTGCCCGACTACGATTCTTCGACCACCGTAGCCTGGTGACTATGATCCCTCCGACCACCTGTCGTCAGCTGGCTATGGCCCGTTCGACCACCGTTGCTAAACTACGGTCTTTCCGACCTCTGTAACTTGCTGACTACAATCCTTACATCTTTCACCACCCAAATATAATTCTATCAACCAAATAAACATGCCAACACTTTCTTGAAAACAACTCTCATTTCATTGGATTCTTCCAGCCACAACCATGTAAAGTGCTTTATATGATGTATATTTGTTACATTGAGTCAAGGCCTTCCCACACGGAAGGGCATTAATTATAATTAATAATAAACACTAGTGGATTCATTCAAACTGGGCAAGACCCCTTGGTTTTTTCTCATTTAAGGATTTCTACGTAAAAATTATAGTGATTCTTATGACTCTTGCACCTCTCTCTCTCTTATATATTTGTGTGTTGGATCTTCATACAAAGTTATAACGTTAAACACTCCATCTCTCTACTGCCACGAATGTTCTGGCATGCAACAGTTGTACTTGTTTGTAAGTTTCCAGGTTGATCAGAAAATACTCAAGGGATTATCTTAGTCGGTTTAGGTGTTATTGTCTTGGTTGACTAAGGTGCTACCTTGGTATTTCCTTGATTGACCTGAAAATATTTGGTCTACCTATTTGCTGATCACAAGAGATTCCCGAACCAATTGGTGATAAATGTGGACCAACATTTCTATGCAAGTTTCCACATGCTGAAGGCCAATGTGTATGACCAGCATTACAAACTTTGATTTCCATGCTTGCAAACCTGGTTTATCGCATGATTTGGCATCTGTAAAGATAACCCACTCTTTTGAACTTTTGAAGGTCTGGAACATGGTTGAGAAGCACAAGCAGGGAGATTACACTTCGATAATTCATGGTAAGTACTCTCATGAAGAGACTATTGCCACCTCCTCTTTCGCAGCGAAGTACATTGTTGTGAAAAACATTGAAGAGGTTTGTCTTTATTTATTTTTTTGCCTTTTTGACGTATATAATTTTCTTTCCTTTTAGTTAAATTCTGCAGGTTAACTGTACCGTATAAAGCTAATGTACTTTCAACGTTTCTTTTGTGTAACTAGGCACTGTATGTTTGTGATTACATTCTTGGAGGGCAACTTAATGGATCTAGTTCAACTAAAGAGGATTTTCTCGAGGTACCATCTAGTTTGATATGTCATCTTGTAAACGAATGGTTTTGCACTGTTTAATATGAATAAATAGTTGCTTTCTTTGTTTGCAGAAATTCAAGTTTGCAGTCTCTCCTGGTTTTGATCCGGATGTAGATCTTGTAAAAGTTGGTATTGCAAACCAAACAACAATGCTCAAAACTGAGACAGAAGAAATTGGTAGCTTTTATATTTTTTTTCAGTTCAGTTTTTAACATTGATGCTGCTTGCAGATTTTACATCTTACATGATTTTCTTTCAGGTAAATTGGTAGAGAAGACTATGATGCGAAAACATGGAGTAGAGAACATCAATGAACACTTCAAAAGCTTTAACACAATATGTGATGCGACTCAGGTAAATTTCCATGGATGGAAAAAGTTGTGCTTTAAGTTCCATTGCTTATATCACTACATGAATATTGCATCCTCTTCAGGATGCTATAAGTTTCTATTCTTGTTTTTTTTTACATTGGGTTTCTTACTGTTGATGTAGGACAATCACGGTCAAGATTTCTTATGCAACTAATATAGCTTGTAGTATGAATTTATGCCAAGAAACTTGAGAATTCACAGATCACAAGTCAATAATTAGTTCGACAGCTTGTCTTTTTAAATATAAACAACCAATACTACAACATCTCCCAAAAAAAAAATCAAGCTTTTATTTCACTATATGGGGTAGGCTACATTAATCATTTTTTCTCCATTGTATCTTATTACGAGTCATTTTTCATTAATAAAAAAAATACCATTAAATTAATTATAATTAAAAATAACTAATATTAATAATAAATGAAATAAAGTAAAATAACATAATAATAATAATAATAAATAAATAAAACAAACATTCCTATACCTAAAGGGGGTCGGGTAGAGGAGAGTGGGTTGAGTTGAGCTGAGTGAGTTGAGTTAGGGATGAGTGATTGAGTGAGTTAGGCTTTAAGTTTGAGTTGAGTGGCTGAGTCAGGGAGTGAGTTGGCTGAGTCGGTTGAGTTGAGTGAGTGGGCTTAGGGATTAAAAGAGCTCTCAGTTCGGTTATGAGAGGGGATCGGGCAAGAGGCAGGCGCCGGTTTGGAGAGGAAAGGAGGCGTCGACAGCACAGAGAGGAGGTCGGGCTCTCTGGACGGGATCGGACGGCTGCAGGTATAGAAAATCCGTTTCTCTCTCTCTCTCCCTCTCTCTCTGCAGCTCAAAGAGACCAGGAGGTCGGAGGTGATGGGCTCGGGAAGGAGATCTGGGTCGGTTTGCAGAGAAAGAAGGAAGGAGGCGGGGTTTCGGCCTGGTGGAGTTCGGTCGTGGAAAGGGATTTCGAGCGTGGAAGCAGGGAAGGAGATCGGAGAGGCTTCGGACGGGATGAAGAGGAGGGGATTGTGGTTCAGCGACGGGAGCAAGCTCGTGGATTCGGGAAGAGAAGAGCAGCGAACGAGTGTGGGATCTCGGCTTCTATTTAACGACGTAAATGATGTAGCGATCGAGGAGCTGTCGTAGGAATAGCGGAGAATCGACTGGAGCGGCGCCGTTTGCAGCAGGATTTGCGGCAGAATTTGTGTATCCGTCGGGTACGAGGTTTGTACGCGAGATTTTTTTTGTTATTCTGAGGTTAACATTTCTAATCATTTTTATTTAGGGCTGCTGCTATCTTTCTTTAAATGTAAACAACCAATACTAGAATTAAAACCTAACTGATAAAGAAATGGCTGAAATAATTGAGAAATTAATTGAGGATTTAAAGCCATATAAAATCAATGAGCATTTCTAATTTCAATTACACAAATTGATTTTTCAATGTGCCAAATTTGAACCAAATCAAGAGCACTAATCAAGCCAATATGAAATTATGTACATATGAAATACGAACAAGACACGAGCATTCCAAAATAAGCAATATAAGGTGTCAAGTTGGTACAAAGAGACAATTTTCATTGGAATTAGAAAGGCAAATCTGTATTGTATTTAAAAGATTCGCATATCCAACTTGCACTCATGTATAAAATTTGTAAAGAGAAATTTTATTTAGCCAAAGTTAATTTTAATATGCCTCAATGCATCTAATTATAGATTCTTTATCCCCTATATTGATAGATATGATTGACATAAGATCAGCTTAATTCAAATTTAAATTAAATCAAAAAAGAAATCCATCTGCAATTTGAAATCTCTCAAAAATTTTATCCATGGCTGCATAAACTTAAGCCAGGAAACCTTAGTGCGTAAGCCAAAAACCAAAATTTTAAAATCCATAACTTGTTCATAGCCATGTACACTCTAAGCCAACAACCCAACCGTAGAAGCCCATATTTTATTAATCTATAAAGGATCACGTTGGATGACTAGTTTAAAATTTGCTTATACTATTCAAACTTGACTATTTTCAGGAGCGGCAAGATGCTATGAACAAGCTGGTTGAGAATAAACTTGATCTGATTCTCGTTGTTGGTGGGTGGAATTCAAGTAATACCTCGCACTTGCAAGAGATTGCCGAAATCAATGGAATACCATCTTATTGGATAGACAATGAAAAAAGAATCGGACCAGGAAACAAGATAAGCTATAAGTTGCTTGTAAGATGAAAATTTTATGTTTTTATTCAAATTGATGCCTCTTATTATTTATTGCTGATTTTCCGTCTCCACTCTCCAGCATGGGGAACTTGTTGAGAAGGTAAACTTCCTGCCTTCTGGACCCATCACAATTGGACTAACATCAGGGGCTTCAACTCCTGACAAGGTAATTAATAAAATTCAGAAAATATAATAATGTTTAAAATTATTACGATAGATATATTAAATCAAGATTACCTTGAGTCTCTTTTTTCTTGAGCTTCAAATTATGAAACCTTTTTTTTTTTGTTTTTTAAGCTATGTGAAAGTGGTATCCTATGGTTATAACTTATTCCTTAAATATCTATTATTGTTTTATCTTGCCAGTTTGAGCTTTCAGTTAACCTTAGCATGTTCATGCCTTCAATAAGTGATGCTCGTTTCTATGCTTTGATGTAGTATTTGATATGCATGCTTATGATGGAAATACCAAATAATGATTAACTAGCCTATTGACAGCCTCAATGCGGTTTGCTTATGAAAAAGATTAGATACACTTTTCTAAACTTTGGGCGAGGTTGGAGTTAGCTCCCTTATATCGATCTCCTAGCTAGGAGAGTCTTTCATGCTTATTTATTAGCTAGGCTGAAGTTGTTCTTATTTACCAAAGAGAGGTGAGAAGAAGAAACTCCTGCCAAATGGTCCAAGGATTCTGTGCTTTCCTTCAGTCCTACTATGTCATTACAAGAAAAAGAGTGTTGACTTCTTATAGCAACATGTTCGGAAATCCTCACTAATTGTGATATCCCTTTATTTGTTGGAATCCTAGTAATAAATCTTGTTTGCTGAAGTATTCTTCTCAAAATTTCATTTTCTGGAGTCAATTTCAATTAAAGAAGTTAATGGATTTGGTTTGAATTAAAAGTGTCTAGTGGAGGAATGCATCAGGCCTGTTGGGTGTTAGAAAAGTACCCCTAAAATTTAAGAAAAAATTCAATAAGATGGTGGTGAGACCTGCAATGCTTTATAATGTCAACCATTAAAAGAGAAGCATAAAATTAAGTTAAGTGTTGCAAAAATGAGGATGCTCAAGTGGATGTGTAGTTTTACTCTTAGTGACAAAATCTGAAACAAGCTTATACGTGAAAAAGTTGAATAGCTCCAATGATAGATAAGATTAGAGAGAATCATCTTAGATGGTTTAGTCACATAAAATGTTTATCTTCCGATAACCTGGTTTGGAGTGTAGATGTATTAAATCTTTCCTATGTTAAGAAAGGAATAGGTAGATCTAAAAAAACTTGGTTATAAAGTATTAGAAATTATATTTTTTATTAGATTTAAATAAGAAATTGACTCTTAATATGACACAGTGGAGAAAAATGATCATATAGCCGACCCCACGTAGTTGGATAAACGCTTGATTTTGATGTTGTTATTGTTGTAACAAGTGGTTTCCTGTCATAGCTTATGATCTATGAATTTACTATTAGCGATGCTTGACTCTCTCAAGATTTAAAAAGTCAAAATCTGGTATCAAGGAATTTTACCTTAACGAGGTGAGACCTAAGCCTTTTGGCAGATGTTTGCAAACTTTGGGAATAAGCAAATCAATTGTAATTGTGTTTTTAGAAAAATTTAATGTAGATTTTTGGATTTTTTAATGAGATTAAAAATGGTCGGACCCCATTGACAACATCTCATATCCAAATCTTATGTAATGACGCAAGTTTTAAAGTGAAATATTCTTTTTTTGTCTTCATTTCTTTAGTTCATTTCCTTTAAGCTCCTTGGATCCATCAGGTCTGAATATTCAAATAAAAAGAACTCCTTTTTTGAAGGGGTGATCCTTTTTTCTTTGGATCTCAAGTTATCCAAATTTGGATCTCCAAATGAAAGAAATTCTCCCTTAAGAGATGTTTCTTTACTCTTTGGATTCTAAATTGTTTAAATATTATACTTTAATTAACTTTATCAACTCTTTTATATTTAATTACACATAAAATTTAAAATAATTTTATACTCCCTGCATGTTATCCTAAGCAATTCATATAAAGTCATCAAAATCTCAAGCATTTATATATGATCAATTGCTCACTTTTGAGTCAGCACATTCACTTGGTCATTCTTTTAATTTCTAAGGGGGCTTAGCAATTTTAGCAGTTACGAAAAATTTGTTAATCACATTTTAACTTGTCCCCTTTTTTATTGTCCTGCTTAAGCATGACCACCTGCAAAAAATTTTGTTAGCATCCAGTTCGCTTCTAGTCTAGGAAAATCTAACGCCCATCACATCATGAACATCATAGTAAAAACATCACTTCATAAACATCATAAGTCACATCAAAACCATAGCAACCAACATGCTTAGAAATTCGCATAAAATCCACTTCATAGAAAAGAGCATTCATAAAAGAATAAGGCCTAATCGAGAAAAAAGATTGGTTATTCTAACAAGCCGTCCATAATGAATACATCAGACTGTGTGATTTGAATATATCTTTAGTTGGCTAATATTTGAAGTTTTTTAGTGCTTTACTTGATATGCTTTTAGGCTAAGGGATGTTTTAGTTTGATTTTAAATTTTGGTGTTTTAATGTTTATTTTAATGTGAATTTTAATTGTTGAGGTTGATTAATTATTAGTTTTTTAAAGTCCTTAATTTTAGTAGATATTTTAGTCCTTAAGTCTTAAAATCTAATACATTTATGTTTTCTAAATGGAATCTAAATTAGATATAAAAGCTCTCTTTTACTAGTAATTTATTATTAATTATTTAACTTGAATAACAACTGCATTTGTTTATAACAGATTCATGAGGTTTATTTTAACTTATTTGTGTCTAACTTAATAGCCTCGTAGGCTCAGGTTATCTAGCAATTATCTTTGGGTTTAAGTTTGATTTAGTTTACTAAACTAAGTTATCTAAATCTAATTTGTGATTATCTCATTACTGATTTTAGGTATTAATTATTAGTTTATTATTGATTTTCATTTTTCATCAATTGTTTTGTAGCGTTGTCACAATGGGCCTAAGGACATTGTCTCCTTAAAACACTTAGCGCTGCAGCTCGAGTTAGTCTAACCTATAAAGCCCATTAATGTAGTTGTGTTAAAAATTATAGATTAATTTAAATTCATTAAGTTGCTTGATTTTTCTTAAAAAAATGGATTTAGTTGGATTTATTCAATTTTTAATTAATTAAAACCCTTAAGTAGGTTTGACTTTAGGTTGAATTTTTAATTTATTACAAATTTTGGAAGTTTTATATTTTTAATAAATACTAGGTTTTATTTATGATTTGATGCAATTTAGTTTGTGTGAATTGCATTTTTCTTGAATTAGTTATGATTTTTTAAAGTTTAGATATTTTAATAAGCTAGATTCCAAATTGTTGTTTTTTTTTAATGAGTTATAGAGATTTGATATTTTTCATAAATACTAGACCCAGTTTTGAGTTTGCTCAATTTTATAAATTTAATTAAATTATTTAATTACATAATTAGAGAAGTTTTGTGATTTTTATACCAAATTAATTCCAAACCTTTTGAAATCTAACCCAAGTATCTTAGGGGTCATTTCAAGTGTTTGAAACTATTTTTGGTTTTTTAATAATTTTTAATTATTTAATTTAATTAATTGATGATTTTCTCTAATTATTAAATTATATTTTATCTTGAATCCATCTCATGGGGCTTTTATTTTTCTTATGTTTAGCACTTAAATATGTGTGATTTGAACTTTAGTTTGTATTTTTAGGATTTTATTTGAATTAGTTATGATTTAATTAGGATCCTATGCCAATTAGGTTGACAAAATTTGGGATTCCTAAATAGTGGATTAAATTATATCCAAATGTAGTGAGATTTGAACCATACGTTCACCAGACCCTATAGCTCAAGTCCACTGAATTTGGCTTTCTGGTGGACCCTCTATGGTGGTTAACTTAATCACCTAAGGCAAATGCATCTATGCACTTAGGGATTTATATTTTTCTAACTAGACCTAGGATTTGGGTGAGATTAGTGGCATACTAACCCTCATAACATGCACAACAAACACACAAAATCTCATATGCTAAATTCCATTGGAGAGGTGATTAGGCTAATCCAAACTTAAGGGTTGATTATTAACCCACAAGCTTAAATTGGCCAAAAGAAGCCCTCAATCAAAATAAACAGAGGTGATTAATTTGGACATGTCAATAACATGCCCAAAATCAATCTCCTAAAGTCTCAAGCTCTGGTGAATTAATTTCAGGCCAGAATTGCAAAATACCCCTAAGAATAAACCCAAATAACTTTAATTTCATATTAAATGAGAGCTTGAAATCATATGATTTTTGTAGATCTAGTCAAGACATTTCCAATGATCCTAAGAACACCTTATTTGGATAAGTGTGTGAGGAGATCTGATTTTTTGAAGTTTTTTTATTTTTCTATAAAATTAATTAGGAGTTTACACAGTCAGTTGTGCTTTTCCACACTGTGCCGTTTGATTAGGCGGCCAATCATTGGCACTAACGGTATTAACGCGGTATTAACTGTAGCCATCCGATCCATGATCAAACAACTATGATATAATGCGCTTCTGGACCGCGGGATTTAATCTGATCTATTTATTAAGTTCAACGTCTCTAATTTCATCTTCCACCTCCCGTGCACGTTCTGAACCGTAAGGCTTTTCTGGCGTGATCCGAGAGATCCCGTCATCGAAATGATACCAGATTTAATAGAGAGCATTAGGGGGTCACGAACCTTCAATCCAACGGTCAGAACTATTAAGTTGAAAGTTCACTTCACACTTGACCGGACTACCTGGCTAGAGAGCTCGGGATTGAACCATTGCCTCATGGAATGCTCCAAATGCCAATGGCTGAGTTCAGGCAGCTTCGTCCAACGTCTGGGAAGATTTCTTCTAAAGGGACCGCAACTGGAGGAGCACCGGAGGTGGGATTTCAAGCTCGGACGAAAGAATTTCACCAGAGCTCGCTCAAAGTCATCGAAGGAGGGCACAAGAGGGCTTGAGGAGCTTCGTGCGGCTCTGGCGAATGTTTTCGAATTGAGAGAATTCAATGTAATGAGAAAGTCTAAGTGAGGGTCCCTATTCAGTCCTCTCCAATGGCTTTGGACAGTCGAGATTACTCAAGCAGAGGGTTTGGATGCTTGCCAACTAAGGGAATAGCTCAAGGAACATTATCTATGCTCAAAAAGCAGTTCTAGGCCTGAAAAGGCCCTGAGTTTAGCTCATGTGAGGAGGGGAAAACTAAGGGTCGGTTCCACCAGCTCCAGCGGCCACCGGCCAACACCGACCACCACCTGGGAGTGGGTGATGTTGAATGGTGTCTGGAAGCACCCTCCCTAAGCCTAATGCATGAGCCAAATTGGTCTGGTGAAAACCAATTGGGCAATATGGCTCGGGAAGAATGTTTTGGGACCCTTTGGGTTAGCGTTATTCTTGACCCAAGTCAACCCAGGAGCTGGGCTGATCAGGATAGGTGCATGGGACCTAGGGCTATCCAATACAAGTGTCAATTTGGCTTTAGCCATCCGATCCAAGATCAAACAACTATGATATAATGCGCTTCTGGACCGCAGGATTTAATCTGATCTATTTATTAAGTTCAACGTCTCTAATTTCATGATCCACCTCCCGCGCACGTTCTGAGCCATAAGGCTTTTCTGGCGTGATTCGAGAGATCCCGTCATCGAAATGATACCAGATTTAATATAGAGCATTAAGGGATCACGAACCTTCAATCCAACGGTTAGAATCTATTAAGTTGAAAGTTCACTTCACACTTGACCGGACTACCTGGCTAGAGAGCTCGGGATTGAACCATTACCTCATGGAATGCTCCAAATGCCAATGGCTGAGTTCAGGCAGCTTTGTCCAACGTCTGGGAAGATTTCTTCTAAAGGGACCGCAGCTGGAGGAGCACCGGAGGTGGGATTTCGAGCTCGGACGAAAGAATTTCACCAGAGCTCGCTCGAAGTCATCAAAGGAGGGCACAAGAGGGCTTGGGGAGCTTCGTGCTGCTCTGGCGAATGTTTTCGAATTGAGAGAATGCAATGTAATGGGAGAGTCTAAGTGAGGGTGCCCTATTCAGTACTCTCCAATGGCTTTGGACAGTCGAGATTGCTCAGGCAGAGGGTTTGGATGCTTGCCAACTAAAGGGAATAGCTCAAGGAACATTACCTGAGCTCAAAAAGCGGTTATAGGCCTGAAAAGGCCCTGAGTTTAGCTCATGTGAGGAGGGGAAAACTAAGGGTCGGTTCCACCTGCTCCAGCGGCCACCGGCCAACACCGACCACCACCTGGGAGTGGGTGATGTGGAAAGGTGTCTGGAAGCACCCTCCCTAAGCCTAATGCATGAGCCAAATTGGTCTGGTGAAAACCAATTGGGCAATATGGCTCGGAAAGAATGTTTTGGGACCCTTTGGGTTAGCGTTATTCTTGACCCAAGTCAACCCAGGAGGTGGGCTGATCAGGATATGTGCATGGGACCTAGGGCTATCCAATACAAGTGTCAATTTGGCTTGGTGAAGCCTAGGGTTGAAATTGGCTCATCCCAAGGTGGTTTTGGCCACTTTTGGTTAGCCTAATTCCTAGCCCATGGGCTAGGCCACCTAGGGTAGGTGCAAAGGGTCAGGGGAGACCTAGTGAAGCATTAGTTTGATTTGATTTAGCTTTGGTTGAGATTTGGCTCAAGGGAAGCCTCTTTCAACCACTTGTGTTAAGCCAGGTGGCTAGCGCAAGTGGACCTAAGGGTTAGGTTTCCTATGAGAGTTTCTTAGGGTCTTAATGGATCACCCTAAGGATTCAATTTGGTTTGGTAATGCTTGGAGCATTGGATTTGGATCGGGTTGAATGTAGGGTTGATTTGGTCAACTATGATTGACTTTGTGAACTAGTTTTGACCAGGGGTTGTCCAACAAATTCAAGATGATATTTTGGACTCAATGGAAGTGATTTCATGCAACGGGGAGGTCTTCTTGCATGAAATGCATGTTTGAACCCTTAATGGGCTATTTGGTCAACTATGGTTGACTTGTTCAACTAAGGTTGGTTTGAATGAGCTATGTTGAGGTTTATGAGGTTTGATTTTAAGGATTTTGGGTTCAACCGTTCAAGTGGACCCAAGGTCCACCAAAAGTTCAGTTTTGAGTTTAACTTGTCATAACATTGATCATGAATATGTTCAAGGGTTTTGGGGAGCTTCCCAAGGTCAAATTCCACAAGATGCATGGTCCAGTGGCATGGACTATAAATATTTGAATGTTTTACAACCTTTGAAATTCAATTCAGTTTTAAGGGTTGGAGAGCTTGGATTGCTCCCAAATTTGAAGGGTTGACTCTAGGGACATGTCTGATCAATATGTAATTGACAAATCATGATTACAATGTCATTTGATTTGATTTTGAGGTGATTAAAAATCACTTAAAATAGGTTATGGGTTTAGGGACTTTGGCTTTTGATTTTTGGCTTGAAATTTTGGATTTGACTTTGATTTTGAATTTAGTTGTCTAAATTTGATTTACTCATATCATTGGCAATCATTTAGGTGATTGCTAATGATATAGTAGGAGGGGTCTAATGGTAGCCACTAGGTGACTATCAATTGAAGGGATTTGGATTTGATTTTGATTTTGATTAGAATTTGGATTGAGTTGATTTTGGATTTGATTTAGTTAAGCCTCATAAAAAATGAGGTCAACAACAGATCAATAGAAAAATAAAAAACTCGTGAACTTACAAATAATTTATAAAAATGACAAAAAAATATCAATATTTTGATTTGATTCATCATCATAAAGATATAAACTATAAATCTCAATATTAAATGTTATTATAAAATAGAAATTTGAAACGAGATTTTAAGTAAACACTCATTTAAAATTTAAATAAACCGTAAGGATCAGGATATACGACGGCCTCATCTTTACTTTCATATTCTTTATAATATAACCTTCATATGTAATAACTATATCATCCTTAAATTCCATCTCATTATCATTATCAAACCCTTCTTCAATTACAACATTTTTTTTTATTTCATTCATAAGTTAATATTGGATTCAATGTAATATATCATAAAACAATAAATTAATAATATAACAAAGTAATCCATTATATTTAAATCATCATTTTTTTTTTAAGCTCGAACCCCACTTTGCTACTTTCTTTAAAATGACTGTGAAATAGAAGTTATTATCAATTTAGTAATCATTTTAATATTAGCATTGATATCTTCATTCAACTCATCATCAAAGGGGTTCCTTCATCTTTAACTTCAAATTTTTCATTATATTTTGTTATTATTCATTCATCATATAGATAATATAGCATAACAACCAAAGGATTTATTTCATTATCAATAGTTATTCATCACTATAATTTGAGATATTTATCTTTCAAATTTTTATTAAACATAACACAACTATTCAATCTTCTTCATTTGTCTTGTAGCTATTTGATTTCTTTTCTTTGTATAATAGAATAAAAACATATTTATAGAAGAAAAAATATTATAAAATTTAACCAGAACGAGCCATCGTCTCAAACTGTCTCGAGGCATATGACTCATTTTAGAAAGGTGTGATCATACAATACTTCTTAATGGAGAAATTATTAGGTCAGTTTAGTTCATGATTTTCTTGTGAGCTGTTCTATGTATTACTATTTATTCTTCTTATGTATTGAATCCGTGTTGCAAAATCTTCACAATGAATACAAAATTTTATCTTCATAAGATAATTGTTCGTCGCGCTCACCTAATAATTGGGCAGGTTGTGGAAGATGTTCTGATAAAGGTCTTCGATATCAAGCATGAGGAAGTCCTGCAAACGGCATAGACCGCAACATATCAATGTGGAATTTATAGCTGCTTGCTCAGTTTGAGAGCATAAGCCCTAACAGCAACTCATACCGGCCGTCTCTGCTTATAGCCTTACTGTAGCTGCGTTGGTTGCCCCAAATCAATTTTTCTTCTGTGGTTCTCAGCTGTCTGTATAGCATATCTACAAATAAATATTACTGCTGATGCAAATGTTCAGCTTTGTCTGTCGCCAATTTCTGTCTTATTATTACTTGCTTTTATATGAAGAGAATTGAAGTCATTAATAATTGTACTGTTCTTCATAAACATAATAAGCAAAACATAATATGTAAACCCTAAACACGTGTACAAAATTAATATTTATGCGTTTGATTGAGATTTTTTTTTTAATGTTAAGAAAGCGTATGATTAAGATAATTTTTTTAAAACTGTTTTTTAATATTAAAATTTTTATAATTAATTTTTTTTGAAAGTTAATGAAATAAATATTTAGAATATAAAGGCGTTAGAATTAGCAAAATAAATTATATATAATGTATACTTTTAGTGATAGGATAATAAATATCATTCAATATTATTAGAAAATAAAATGAAACTTAGGTATGATAAGTTCTATTTTGGACCTAATATACAAAAAATGAAGATAAAAATAAGAATATATTAGATTATTACAATGAAAATCTCTCAAGACTTTTGTGTGATAAAATAATGTCATATAGGCTTAGTGATAATTTTAATAAAATCATAATTAGGCCAATGCATATATATGAATATATAATATCTATGTTGATTAGGCAAAGTTATCTGATTTGATGTCTCT